TCTGTTTTTGTGTTTGTTTCTTTATCAGGCTTCATTTGCCTGTATTTTGGCCTCCCCAAAATACATGCAAATGTAGTTTGGGAACACCAAAACATATATGCCTTGATTCACATTTTGCTGCAGCTGCATGTGATTAGAATTTTTTTTGTAGTAGCCATTAGCACTGCACATACCTTCAGCCTGCGTTATCTTCCCTGAGAAAATTAGGGGTTTACCTACTATTGAGGGGTCCCTGGGGAGGGGGGGGGTGCATGCACTTTGGCTCCTCTGCGGGATCTGATGATTGGGGTGAGCTGTAGTTAACCTGTTTTGGAGATCTGCTGTATGTGAGTGTTCCAGCTCAAGTTCTAGAGATGACTTACACCTTCCCCTTGCCATGTTTTCCTGGATCAGGAGTGCGGGTCACTCCCGAGCACCAGGGCATCCTGCAGTTCTTGTTCTTGTCCTACACAAGAACTACACACAAGTTGTACCACCCTACAATGGAGCGATGCAACCTTTTGTTTTGGCAAATATCCCTTGGGCTTGGGTGCCCCCATGAGTCTTTGCCCTGCTTTTCAGTGGGGTGGTGGGGTGATTGTGTACTCTATATTTTGTTTACCAGCAGCAGTCTCCTATTATCTCTTCCTTTGTATGGTATGGCCATTACCTCTTCACCTTGGGTAGAGGATGCATGGCTGTTGTCTCCCTTGTGTGGTCTCCAGGACCATTTTTCTAAAACCTTGGGGCTTTGCAGGGGTCTCTTAGAGATTTCATCCATCTGAGCCCAAGGTATAGACAATTGAGCCTGTGTTTATAGCTGGGACTCTGCTTACATCTTCTGGTTGTTTAAGGTTGCTGTTGTTTGAATGGGCATCATCTTCCAATTTGATACACCTCTTTTATAGGCATTAGGCATGGTTCTTGGCACTGCCTCTGAGCTCTTGTCATTTTTGTCATTGGACTTTGGGGCATTCGGGGACACCGAGGCGGGTATTAGTACCTCCACTCTCTTTGCTTTTGTGGGGATTTTAGCTCCATTCAGGGATGAAGCTTTTCCTGTGGCACCCACTAGCAGGTGCTTTCTCAAAGGTCTGTGGGTTCTTCAGGTTGCCACTTTTTGCGGGTTGCTGTCTGGACATCTCTGATGGCAGCGTGGGTGGCCGTGTTCCAGTTCCTGCTTTGTGGCTGGGACCATGCCTTAGGATTCGTCGTGGTTTTGGTTTTCTGGCCCGGTCTGTCCTTGGCTAGTAGTAGTTCCCCTTCTTTGGGTTCTTTATCATGCCACTTGCTATTTTCAGTTCTTGCTGTGCTTCTCTTTCACCCCAGCTGTGTCTTTTTTGGGTCTGTATTGGTACCAGGGCATCTGTGTTTCAATATTCAGTGGGGCCTTGTCGGTTTACCTTTAGTCCACTGTTTTGGAGTGTATCTGGCCCTTGTGGGTGTTTAGGACCCTTCAGCAATGGCTCTGGCACTTGGCTGTGGTTTCTGAGGTGTAGCAGTGTTATTTTTTCTCCAGTGACTGAGATGGAAGGATGTGTTCCTCGTTGCTCACTCTTTTTGTTCTTGTTGGGGTTCGGCTTCCATGAGACCAGAGGTTTTCACTGAGCCTTTGGTTGGATTTGCACTCACTTTTTTGGAGTCTGCCTGTTCATCCTCTGCATGATGCTTCTGGCATACTGTTCTACATTTGTACTAATAATGATGTTTGTGTCTGCACAGAGATGATTTGCATCATCTTGCAGCATTTTCCTTTTCTAAGCTTTGTGTAGGACAAGGGAGGGAAATCATCATACAACTTAGAAGTGCATTTAGAGAACACCCCCAATATATGTATGTCTTTTTTTTTTATATGAGTGGTGCCTGGCTTCTTGTGGATATTTTCTTCTGCTGTGGGCAGAATTTGGGGAGTTTGTCTTTGATGCATTACCCGAGCTCTCACCGGAATGCTCTTTTGTGTCCTCACCCCACTGTTTTACTGCTCATCTTACAATACAGTGGGTTGGGAGGTCAGTTGTGTGCCTTCTACCTGGCCTGTTTCCAGGTGCATCACATCTTTGAATTCAGGGCTTCAAGTTTGAGCAACTACTTTTCTTCCCTGCAAGATCTTCACTGGCTTGTTAAATGGGGGTTTAGCTGTGTTGATGCCTCCCTTGCTGTGGGATGTCCCTTAGTTCCAGTCCTTTCATGGAACAGGACTTTTGGAGACCTAAGTTCTGCAGTTTCTCTGGTTTTCCAAGTTCCTTCCAGTTTAAATGTTTTGCTTCGCCTCATTCAACTGGTCATTCTGGTCCTGTGGGTATTTATTTTGTGGATCCTTAGTCATTTCAATGGTCCTTGGCATCCTGTTCATTCTTTTGTATGATGCAGGTCTGGGTATTTGTCTTTGGGGTCCTACGTCCTCTCCTTCCTCAACGAGTAACATTTTAGGCATCCAGCTCTTCGACTTGTGTCTACTAGCTGAGGTTCGTAGTTCTTCCTCGGTTGACTGGTTTTTGGTTCCTTGAAGTTGTTCTGGAAGCTAGAACACAAAGAAAAAATTTCTGATGGACAGACAAATGAGAGCTGTAATCAGAGGGACAGACAAATGAGAGCTGTAATCAGAGGCAATGTATCACACTGGAGAAATGTTACTTGCAGAGATCCACAAGGTTCAGTTCCTGCAACAGGACATTAATATTCATTATCTATATAAATGATCTACCAGAGGGGATTCAGTTACATGAATATATTTATAGCTGATGCTAAGTTATTAGGGAGAGTAATGACCTCTCATGACCTTCAAAATGACAAAGACAAAATAAGTGAATGGAGCAATACATGGCAGATGAACTTCAATGTAAATAAATGCCACATAATGCAATGTGTATTAGGGAAGAACAGGCCACACAATCTATAAATTATGTTACAGGATACTAAAGCACTTTGATAAAGAGAGAGAGTTGGAGAGGTTCTGGATAGTATACTGTCACCAGAGGATCACATCAAAGGTGTTGTAAGAGGAGCCTATGGCTATGATAAATTTAAGAATCCCATTTCCATATATGAACAGAGAAATACTAAAGATACTGTTCACAACATTTGTAAGACCAAAATAAGAACATGCAGCAGTTGTGTGGTGTCCATATTTCAAGCACATCAATAATCTAGAAAGGGTTATCTTGAGGTTATCTTGAGATGATTTCGGGGCTTTTTAGTGTCCCCGCGGCCCGGTCCTCGACCAGGCCTCCACCCCCAGGAAGCAACCCGTGACAGCTGACTAACACCCAGGTACCTATTTTACTGCTAGGTAACAGGGGCATAGGGTGAAAGAAACAATGCCCAATGTTTCTCCCCGGCGCCTGGGATCGAACCCAGGACCACAGGATCACAAGTGTAGCGTGCTGTCCGCTCGGCCGACCGGCTCCCCAGGGTGCAGAGACATGCTACTTAATGGTTTCCAGAAATAAAGAACACGAAAGAGGCTAGAGCTATTAAAAATACCAAAGCTGGAAGAGCAAAGAAAAAAAAAAAAAAAGAGGCAAAATGATCACCATACAAAATAATGACAGGAATAGGTGGAATTTTCTAAACCCTGTAAAACTCTCTCTCTTTCAAACTCACACTTGTTCTCACTCTCTCATACTCTCTTGTATTTTATGCAGACAACCAATTTATAGTAATGAACTAAATATATCTGTGGCCAGCCCTTAAATGGTATTGTCACGCAGAAAAATTTATTTGTATGTATATTGGTAAGAGAAAACCCTCGCTATTGGATGGCCAGAGATTTTAGTCTTGGCTATACATACTTGAAACTAAGCAAATATTTTTTGAGAAAGAAAATTAAACATTAAACCAGTAGTAAGAAATTCACCATTTCTTTTTTTAGCTCCGAGTGTTATCACACAAATTCATGCTTGCAATGTATACAAAGAATACAAATTTTATACCTTATTTTATATTAATATATTATGAAAAATTATGAACAACAAATGTCACGAGGGGCAAGGCATCATTTAAACCATTCAAGTATCTGAAACCTCTGGTAGCTGTGCTCAGAAGAGATAATATGGGATGTGAGTGGCAGAATGTGTAAGGGAAGTGCAATTCATACACAAAACATTATCTCCACATTTGCTCGAAATGCAATTGACCACTGACACTCAAGTCATTTCATTATGTGTAGAGATAAAAAGAAAAAAAAACACATCCCTGTGAGGTACTGCGATGTGTGATCAACACTTTACAACTGCCATAAAGGAATAAATTATTATTTATCCTTACCATTCCTTTAACACTGAGGTCTAAGAATCTCTCTCATTATAGGAATTATTTCTTTTCAACATAAAGGTAATTGAAAGTAAATTTTTTATATTTTATATGAAGAGCTATACAATGTCTTTTTTTTTTTTTACACGTGTTGACTGAAAACACCCACACACTTTACAAGGCAGGTACATGAATACCTAGGTAGTCTATCTATGGCATCAGAAATTCATATTTATCTTCAATATTACAATTGTCTAAATATAAATATATGAAGCTTACAATGAAAGAAATGTGTTCTATTTATAAATTGCCACTTTTAGTACTGAAAAACATCTAATGTGAAGCCTACGAGGTACTGTATGTACAGGCAAGTCACATAATACAATGATAAATTCTTTTGCCATTCATGCATTTTTGGTATTTGAGAACATATTTGTGGAAAACATTCATGGAAGTCTGTCCATTAAATTTTTATTGAGGTAAATGATGAACCACAGGAAAGTGTGTACTTTGTAATATAATTGTAAGTATTTCATGCCATTTTGGCACTGCAGTGCCAATTCTGAGAACCTTCCAAAACCACATCGACTCTTACGTGACTAATACCTCAATTCTGCCGCTCAAATTAACGTTAATTCTTTTCATGGTAAATATGATTTTGATAATTAAAAATTATGGTAAAAATTTAATAAATATTTTAGTTAAAACATCATAACACAACATGTCAGATATCCCATCCCCTGCCCCCCCCCCCATCTTTTTTTTAATAGTTGCTTGAACATAAATATGACTAATAAACTAGCATTGGTACTGTATGAATACAAACTGAGATCATATTATGAAAAAAATGGACTTTTCTTTCACTTTCTCTGCTTAGCTGAAGGATTCATCTGGGACTTTATATATATTTCCTAGTTTGTCACATGTTTATAAAATATAAATTTATATATATTATATCATAGAACTGACCCATGTCGGTTACAATCTTGCACAAAACAAGTCAGAAATCACAAGATCTAATCAACGAAGCTATAATATGAAGACAAGTAAACTTATAAAAATTCATAAATTTTTCTCATATTTATCTATCATTTAGGTCAGTTTAAAACAAGACATATTGAAAACATTGTCGAAATATTTATGTATTACTATTTAACCACAGAAGCCAACAATTGCTGGCATATTTTTATTTCTCTAAAATTTTTTGCATCCTTTTAATGCTTTCTTATCCTTATTTAGTCATCGTATTCGTGAGAAGGCACCTGAATTTAATCCGCATCTCAAATTTTCACCTGTTTAACAGATTAGGGACATCTAATTGTACAACTTTTTAGGTTCAAGTACTGTGTGTGTGTGTGTGTGTGTGTGTGTGTGTGTGTGTAATTACCTAAGTGTAATTACCTAAGTGTAGTTACAGGATGAGAGCTACGCTCGTGGTGTCCCGTCTTCCCAGCACTCTTTGTCATATAACGCTTTGAAACTACTGACGGTCTTGGCCTCCACCACCTTCTCACTTAACTTGTTCCAACCGTCTACCACTCTATTTGCGAAGGTGAATTTTCTTATATTTCTTCGGCATCTGTGTTTAGCTAGTTTAAATCTATGGCCTCTTGTTCTTGAAGTTCCAGGTCTCAGGAAGTCTTCCCTGTCGATTTTATCAATTCCTGTTACTATTTTGTACGTAGTGATCATATCACCTCTTTTTCTTCTGTCTTCTAGTTTTGGCATATTTAATGCTTCTAACCTCTCCTCGTAGCTCTTGCCCTTCAGTTCTGGGAGCCACTTAGTAGCATGTCTTTGCACCTTTTCCAGTTTGTTGATGTGCTTCTTAAGATATGGGCACCACACAACAGCTGCATATTCTAGCTTTGGCCTAACAAAAGTCATGAACAATTTCTTTAGTATATCGCCATCCATGTATTTAAATGCAATTCTGAAGTTAGAAAGCATTGCATAGGCTCCTTGCACAATATTCTTAATGTGGTCCTCAGGTGATAGTTTTCTATCTAGAACCACTCCTAGATCTCTTTCTTTATCAGAATTCTTTAAAGATTTCTCACATAATATATAGGTTGTGTGGGGTCTATGTTCTCCTATTCCACACTCCATAACATGACATTTATTAACATTAAATTCCATTTGCCAAGTGGTGCTCCATATACTTATTTTGTCCAGGTCTTCTTGAAGGGCATGACAATCATCTAAATTTCTTATCCTTCCTATTATCTTAGCATCATCAGCAAACATGTTCATATAATTCTGTATACCAACTGGTAGATCATTTATGTACACAATAAACATCACTGGTGCAAGAACTGAACCCTGTGGTACTCCACTTGTGACATTTCTCCATTCCGATACATTGCCTCTGATTACTGCCCTCATTTTTCTATCAGTCAGAAAATTTTTCATCCATGATAGAAGCTTACCTGTCACCCCTCCAATATTTTCCAGTTTCCAGAACAACCTCTTATGTGGAACTCAGTCGAAAGCCTTTTTTAGGTCCAGATAGATGCAGTCAACCCAGCCATCTCTTTCCTGTAATATCTCTGTGGCCCGATCATAGAAACTGAGTAAATTCGATACACAGGATCTTCCTGATCGAAAACCATACTGTCTGTCTGATATTATATCATTTCTCTCCAGGTGTTCTACCCATTTAGTTTTGATTAGCTTTTCCAATACTTTCACTATTACACTTGTCAATGATACAGGTCTATAATTGAGGGGGTCTTCCCTGCTGCCACTTTTGTAGATTGGAACTATGTTAGCCTGTTTCCACACGTCTGCTACGATTCCTGTACACAGGGATGCCTGAAAGATCAGGTGAAGTGGAATGCTGAGCTCAGATGCACATTCTCTCAGAACCCATGGTGAAACGCCATCTGGGCCAGCTGCTTTGTTCCTCCCGAGCTCCTTTAGCATATTTTCCACTTCATCTCTAGACACCTCTATCCGCTCTATGTTGTTCTCTGGAATTCTTATTGTGTCTGGTTCTCTGAAGATTTCATTTTGTACAAACACACTTTGGAACTTTTCATTTAATGTTTCACACATTTCCTTTTCATTTTCCGTGAATCTGTTTCCCATTTCCAACCTCTGGATATTATCCTTTACCTGCAATTTGTTGTTTATGAATTTGTAGAATAGGCCCGGTTCTGTTTTACATTTATCTGCTATCCCTTTTTCAAAATTTCTTTCTGCCTCTCTCCTTACTGCTATATAATTGTTTCTCGCATCTTTGTATCGCTGGTATGTTTGGGGGTTTGG